GGGTCATAGGCATTTCCATTTCTTAAACCATTAATCATTTTTATGTGTTGACAATTTATAATCTTCTAGTCATTGTTTCTACTCATTTTAAATGGATAACAGATTTTTTTCAACCAATTGCTACTCTCATCTTCTATCAAAGAATCAGATTTAATTATTCTACTATGTCACAAACATTTTAAGTTTTTCTTCATATTCAATTACATTCCATTATTTTCGATAACTGTTCCTATCTACAGAAAGATTGACAAGATGCACAAAGAGATCCTGTGTGTCTCTGTACAAAATTTGCCCTAATACTGCAGATTGCTTTTGGATGGCAATGCTGGAATTGAAATCCAGGGTCTCACACATGATAGGCAAGTGATTCACATCTCCAGGGCTTGTACCACTAAGCTGTAGCTGTAGCGCTGTGCTAATCCCACTATCAAATTAATATGGTGCAGTCAGCACAATGAATAAACCAATGCTGATTCAATGTTATCAAATAAAGCCCATAATTCATTAGAATTTCCTTGATATATCTTCTCAATTGTTTGTATGTTTGTTTTGGGGGGAAGGGTTCCAAATCCCATCTAAGATCCAATCAGTAGTTATGAGGCCCTAGGCTCTTCTTGGCAGTGACACTTCTTTTCCTTTTGAATACCTAACAGCTTTGAGAACTATTAAAAAGGCATTTTGTGAGATGCCGCATTATTTAAATGCAATCATTTTAGTTCTGATAATTCTAGTTTGAGCAGGAAGAATGAGAGGTAACAACATCATTTTTATCACAAGATATCAAGGGTTTTTGCTGTCTGTGGCTTGTGACACTTCATGTTCTTCTTTGTCAGCAGGTGGTGATTGTCTGGTTTCTCCATGTACAGTGCTCTCCTTGTCCACTTTCATTCCCAAATGTTGGGAGGTGTCACCAAGAAGAGCTTGAGGTTAAGAGCAATGAGTCTTCTCCTCTCAATGAAGGCTGAGTATCTGCATAAAGTACCTGGACTTCAGCATGGGAACCTTGCCTGTACTCCCCAGCTTACTAATACTAATTTACTAACTCATGTATAAATAGTTGAATCTCATGGACATTTATTTTATATATTGAATTATAATCTAATACTTTTTATTGCTCAAGTATTTTCCACTGTTGACCATTGTCACGGATCTTTTGGTTGGATCATTTGTCTTTTTGTCATATCCCTCATCAATGTGCGCGCGCGCACGTGTGTGTATGTATGTATGTGTGTGTGTGTGTGTGTGTGTGTGTTGTTGTTGTTGTTGTTGTTGTTGTTGTTTTAAGCATTTTAGTTTTCCTGGAGGCTATAAGTTCATCTTAGTTGTCTCTTGCCCCTAGAAAGGAGCAGGACAAATTAGCCATTTGTTCAAGAACCCCTGACACCTTTTACTGGTATGAAAAAACCAGATCTGGTTGCTTGATTTGTTCATTGTCATTGGGGTTTTATTACTTTTAGGCCTTCTTAATTGACAGAGCAGAAAGATATGTATGCTTACAAACCTATAAATATTTCCATCCTGAGCCCTATAAACTGCATATAAACACATCATTTATATAGTAAATGAAGCTTGAGATTTTATTCTTCAAAATGGATTGCCACATAAATTACCATTCTTGCTTCTCTGTAAATTCACACTAACAGTTAGCAAGCCAACTTTATACCACAACTCTGTTATTACTGAGTACAGTTAACACTATTTTTTTATTATTTTAGCTTATAGAACACACATAGTACATGTGTACATTCCTTGTGGACAATGATCCATGTACATAACCCATCTTGATTCTGGGTTTCATCCCCATTCCCTTCCCTGTCTCTTGCCTCCAAGCATCCCTTCATCTCCTTCCTTTTTTGTTTTTGTTGTTATTTTTGTTGCATGTTTGCAGTTAATAATGTTTACATTCCTTTTGTGGAACTAATGCACATACATAACACATCTCAGTTCCTTTTTTTAATCCCTTCTTCCTTTTTGCCTTCCCCTCCCTCCATCATCTGATCCTCTTCCCTGCTGAGAACAGTTTATCTCCTTACTCCCTTTATTTTTTCTCTTTCTTTATTTTTACTCTGAGTTTGTTATATAAGAGAAACAATGTGACTATCTGAACAGCACTTCAGTTACAGAGGAACTAGTTCCAAGGATCAACAACTGAGTTCATATTAAATAAAAACTTGCTCTGCACAAATGAAACAATAAAGAGAGTGAAAAGAAAACCTACAGTATGGCAAAATATTTACCAGCAACTCCACAGACAAAGGACTCATATCTACAATATACAAATAATTCAAAAAATTAGACTTCTCAATGTAAAACAACCAATCAGTGAGATGAACAGGTATTGCAATACTGAGATAAATATTGGAAGAAATATGAACTTTATATTTTGCTTTAATGAAAATAATTTTAATAAGATTAAATTAATTATTTTAATTTACACAGCCTTTTATTCCAGTGATGGCAACCCTTTTAGACACAAATCCCAAAACTAAAACCCACTTATTTATCACAAGATGCCAACACTTTTAATATAAACAAGTGTTTTAGAACTTTTCAAAAATCATACTATATTCATACAAATATAAAATTACAGGGATTATGACTCTTTGTCTTCTGAAAAAGGCTTGTCAATAAAAGACATCTGTTCCAAAGTCATTAGAGGTAGTGATGGACAACACACAAGTTATGTTCTGTGTAACACACAAAACAAGAAAATTTTATAGAGCACAGCTTTTGTTACTTTTAGTATAAATAACTTTTAGTTACTCCAAATGAGTCCTTAAATAGCTTTAGCTTGATCTAAACACAACTACATCATCCCAGGAAATAATTACCCCTATTACTAAAAGAGCACAATGAAATACTTCTTCATAGTCCACTCTGTTCACCTCACTTTAAAATCAGAGCTTTGTAGGTATATGCTGTTTTCTATAGTTTGGTATCAAATCTTGTAATGATATTAATGTACAAACCCTGGCTCAGGACATCATTCCCATAAAACCTCCACTTTTTGGCCCTTCCTGCCACAAGAACATAGAAGTTCTCTCTGCTCCTTTACAAGTCTTAGCTACTTCCACTGTTCAGAGGATGCACAATGGGCCCCCAAATTGGCTGTGCATATTAGTAGTGTGCAAGTAATATAACCATTCCTTCCTCATCCATACAGAAAAGTCTCCTTGAAAGGGGATGTCAATAAATGATTTTTAAGACATATCTGAAGGCGAATTCCCGTGAAGTGTAAAATGGAAGAGACCAAGTGTCCATGATGAAGTCCTCAGCCAGGATGGCAGTCTGACATCTAAAAAAGAAAAGATAAATGGAAAAAGAATTGTGGAAGGAACAAAAAGAAACCTCACACTGCAGTATAGCTCTAAGTTGTATTAGTCAGTATGTAGAAAACAAACACTGAGATACACGTTCTGTTTCAAGACCTGACCTAGAATATCACACCCACCATGCTCAGTCATTTGCTGAAGGCATCTCAGAGTCAGCAGGACTCTGTATGAACAATATGACACTCAAAGGACCGTCAGCCTCAGACTTAAAGTTGTGCTCCTTATAATTGGCTTTCTTGATAGGAACTAAATGAAATACTTTAAGGCTGCCCACATCCCACCTCTAAAAACTAAGCATCTAAAATTTTCTGATTTACTCTTGATGCAATTATTATTGTTGGCACTATTATTTCATTATTTAATATATTAAATTTATATTAATATTAACCAAGCAGAATTCTCCAAATTAACACTATATATATTTACACACACACACACACACACACACACACACATATACATATATATATATATATATATATATATATATATATGTATGTAAAATATATTCCGTGGCAAATACATTGAAGTAAAAGTAAATTATAGCAAATATTATCCTGTTAAACATAATTTTTGCCTTATTTGTAATAAAAAGTATAAGTAATTTCAAAGTGTTTGTAGAATAATTATTATTTTATTGATATGTATTTACATTTCATGATGCATATTGAATAAGTAGAACACTGGGTAAAATATTTCTACTAACTTAGTGTGTAGTGGTTTATTGTTAGTTTTAAAAGCAATAATTATTGTAACAATTATATCTTTATTTTCAAAGGTTTAATACCATCTTACACAGTAATAAATGAAAGTGTTATAAATCACAATTGGTCTTATTATAATCCTGGAGTGCATACCTGCTGTTCTCTTGTCATTCTCTGTTTTGCTGTCATTAGCAGTGAAAGATGGAATTATATCCAATCGTGTTTAATAATAAGCAAGATGACACAGGTTCTCAGATATGGGTGTCAGGTGGTAGAGTTTTCCAAGTCTAAACCTACTCAAAAACACAATAAGAAAAGAAATAGTAGTGAGAAAGAAAGAAAGAAAAAAAAAAAAAAAAAAAAAAAAAAACAGAAAAAAGGACCAGTTTGAAGGAGTCTGATTATGCTTTAAGGTTCACACCTCTTGAAGACATTTGATCTTAACCCAATTATAAGTACATTTTTATGTTTTTCATGTACCAGTCAAAATACATTAATTCTTAAAAAGAAAATATTTCATCAAATCCTGGGGTCTTAAACACAAACAATATTGATAAATAAAGGTGCTTCTGTCATATTGGGGACTTGTGTGGTTAGGTTACGAAGCTGAAATTTTTTGTCAGTTACAAACTCAGCATAATTTTCCAAAATAGGGATGTCCCAAGAGACAGAAAGCCCATGAAGGGAACAGAAGAAAATGAATAGAAAATGTTGCTACATCTGTTGCTTCATAAACACATTATTATTTAAATGAACTGCGAGAAATGTCAAAGATATAGAAACAAAAGTCAAACAAGATAAGCTCTAAGAGAAATGGTAAGACAAGCCTAAGAAGCTATATAAAACACTGCAGAACATACATGAATGTGAGCAAAATCTCTTCAAAGTTCCTAATAAAAATGTAGTGTCTTTAATCTCGTTACATTATTACCACTTCCGATTACAATATATCATTCCCCTGAATTTAAATACCAACTTTCCTCAAGGCAATTTTAACATCCTTCTTCAAACTGCAGATCAGAGGATTGAGCTTGGGTTTTATGTTGGTGCAGAAAACAAAAGAAACTTTTCCCTGGTTGACAAATTCAGGAGAAGAATATTTCAACTGCATGAATGCAGCTGACCCCCAAAAGAGAGAAATGGCAATGATGTGATAGCAACAGGAACTGAAGGCCTTGGATCTTCCTTGTGTGGATTTGATGCACAGGAAGCTTGTGAGCAAGAAAGTATAAGAAATTAGTGTGATGACGCTGAGGACTGTGATGTTAACACCTACCACAATGAGCACTAATACTTCATTGACGTAGGTTCTTGTGCAAGAGAGTTGGAGGAGGGACAGGATGTCACACAAGTAATGGTTTATGACACTGGCCCTGAAGAAGGTCAGGAGAAGCAGGCAGCCTGTGTGAGCACTGGCTCCAGAAAAGCCCATTGCATAGGGAGCAAGAGATAGCCCAGAACAGACCTTCTGGGGCATGGTGATCTCATACAGCAGTGGGTGACAGATGGCCAAATAGCAACTATAGGTCATTGCAGTCAACATGTCGCACTCAGGGATGACAAAGAAGAGAAAGAAAAACAGCTGAGTCATGCACCCTGCATAGGAGATGCCATTCTTCTTTGAGACAAAGTTCATCAGCATTTTGGCAGTGAAAACAGATGAGTAACAGAGATCCATGGAGGAGAGGTTGAAGAGGAAATAGTACATGGGGGTGTAGAGGTGAGTACTGAGAACAGAGTGATAGAGTCAGAATAACAATGTAGATCATCAGAAACAGGTAAAAGAAGGGTGTCTGGAGCTCTGGGAGATCTGTTAGTCCAGTAAAAAAAAAATCAATCACCAAGTGCTCGTTTCCATTCAGCACTGCCATTGTTGAAAATCTAAGAGAACAGAAGGAAATTTTATCAAGATACAGCTTTCTATTCTAAACTCTCATTCTCAGTGGAGAGAATACAAGGGCTTTCCATGTTTTCTGTCTTCACAGCAACTAAATACATACCTTCCCCTCGACATTGCCATCATGCCTTCTTTGGTCCACGTGAGCTGAAAAATGCTTCTCTCCTGACAGAAGAAGTTAGAATGCCTGAGATATAACCGGCAGAGCAGCTTGTGCAGTGAGGATGTGGCTGTCAAATTTCCCTCTAATTCATCTAGCCTACCGCTTCCTAGTTTCTATATGTGTGTCGTTCCACTGGATACCCAGTTCCCCTGTCATGCCAGCAAGACAGAAATCCTTTAGGTAAAAGACCAGACCAATATTCTGCTTCCTAGGAGAAAGTCCCACATAGTCTATGATGCCTTACTACAAGAACTCATAAGGTCAACCATGATAAACAGTTGCCATTAAATATTTATAATTAACCACACATCCAAGTGTATCTCTCAGTTCAAACCCAACTGAAAGAAAGATGAAGAAAGGATGGTGACTGTATTTCCAATGTGTTTATTTATTTGTTTATTTATCATTTAGAGACAGGGTCTCACTATAGTGTTCAGGTTGACTTGGAACTCATCATGTAGTGTAGGCTGGCCTCTTACTCCTGGTCATCTTCCTGCCTCAGCCTCCAGAGTGCTGGGACTACAGACAGTCACTATAACACCTGGTGCTAATTCTAATGATTTTATTTTATTTTTTGTTTGTTTGTTTCCAACAACTTTTATAGGAAGACATGAAATAAAAGTATCATCCTCTTGGGTGCTCGTTATGTAGTGGTAAATAACGGGGGAAACGTATCCAACTGTATACAGTTCTTCTGTGTGTATAGCAAACATCAATATTTTTATTAACAAATAAATATCTCTCCTTCAGCTGCTGGGCCTCCAAGAGCTGCATACCTGACATGCTGTCAGACTGAGGATGAAGCTGGGTAAATGAGACAGATTCAGACAGTAAGATCAGAGCTCTGTAGTGCTAAATTTCTTGTTTTTTTTTCAAAATGATAGTTCTCATTTTTTAGCCACTTTGAACATGATAGAGTCAAATAGAGACAGAATTAATTCACTTTCCTCCCATTCAAGCAGCTCAGTACTGAATAGAATGTGTGCCTCACCACCAGGGTCCTAAAGTGGAACTGACATCTGAGTAAGCAGAGCTGACCAGCTGCAATCACAAAATCTCCTCCCAAAAAGATGACTGCACAGTTTGCACAATTGGAATGTTCCTGTAGGCATTCTGAGGCTTGATCAAACTTCTAGCTAAATATTTTTCAAGAGAGTGTGAAGGAAAGCCACAGACTTGACTCAGAGCTACCATGTCCTAAGGCCCATGGTATTTGCTTAATGCTTTTCATCCTTTTGGACCCAATTAGAAATCCAGGAGTAGGGGACCCCTGAAACCTTTCCAATGGTGATGAAGAAAAACAAAACAAAACAAAACAAAACAAACAAACAAACAAAAAAACAGTGTGTGTTTATACCTTAATTCATGACAGTAGATGTGATCTTCCCACCAGTAATCTCAAGCATAGGTAGGCTCTACTTTAGTTCACACACATATAAGTGTAACTAATGTCATTTAAATATTCACAAATCCCAGCTATAGTGCACGTAATAGTTTTGGTAAAAATTTATGCCTAATCTAATAAAGTATATGTGTTATGTTTATTTTTAATATTTTTATATCTTTTGTGTAGTCAGTATTAAACAATATATATTTTATAAAGTAAGATTGGTTTTTTATGTCACAAAATTTAATTATCTTGGGTCCTTCTGACTCAAAATTTCTTTGCCTTAACAAATTAAAATCAAATACATAAGAAAAATTACTATATATGGGCAGTCATGAGAAAAAAATTATGACCCTAGAATTCCCCTGTATATACAAGTTTCTTGGTTACTTTTCTTTCATTGCTACCAAAGTCTGATGCCAGCTGGAGCAATAGCCAGGCTTTTCTCTCTCTAGGTGATAGGGGTCCAGTTCCTGAATTTCTGGGCACTCAACCTGATTCTGAGAAACAAATTCTCTATGTTGCCTCCATTCTGGAACCTGGTGCAGTCACTGCCATTTTGGAACCTCGTGTGGCAACCGCTGCCATTCTGGAACATGGTGCTCTATAGCTTTCTTCTCCAAGCAAAGCTTTTCACTTTTGTAGTTTTGAAGATTCACAGCATGATAACTCACTGCTGCTTATGATGCCCTAAAACCACCTTTTATATTCTCCTCTTCCTTCTCAACAATAGAGATCTCAACTCTATCTTTGCAGTCTGAAGCTTTACTAGAGCTTTTTTCCTGGCTAAACTCACAACATTTAAAATCATCCTGCTGAGATCTTTGCTCTTGACTCACAATATAAATCTGGCTAAAAGCCCCTAACAAAATCCATACCACCACCTCATCATTGGACTGCCTTGAAATTTCTTTTGCCAGGTCAATTAGTTCACCACCCTTAATCTCAGTCTCAAACAAAACCTGTGTACATGAGCAAAATGTGTTCAAGCTTTCTCCCAAGCCATAACACACATTGTCTGGAGTACAACAACCAGTGGAGTCTTTATTTCCAGAAGAAATTTCTCAAGGCTAGACTCTACTGGCAGGATTTCTATCAGCTTTCTGGTCTTGTGAGCCCTTATGAGATTCTTCCATGCAGGACAACCTAAGCCATTCCAACTCTATGCTTTCAAGTGACATCTCTGAACCGTTCCAAACTATCCCCAAAAGCCATTCCCAAAGGTTCTTGAACCACATGGTCAGGTGTAGTCACAATAAAAACCTCATTCTTTTAGTACCAAATTCTTTTATGTTAAGACAAAATACCTGACACCCAAAATTAAGGACAGCGAAGTTTATTTAGCTGACAGTTCATATAGGTTTCAGTCCATACACAACTGGCTCCAAGGTAAGGTGTTGTGGCTGAGGATTAACCATTCATAGCAGACACAAGTGACAAGAGCAAAAGAGCAGAAGAGTAAAGCACATCACCTTCTCTTTCTTATATTGTATGAAGGTTACCCACCCCTGTGTGGATGCAACAGCATTAGACAATAAACCAGCATTAGACAACAAACCAATCATGAATGCTAGATTAAACTTCCTCCATGACTGCAAGAGGCTTTGAGGGGACACCCAGACACAAACCATAACAATAGCTTATGGGACAGCATCTATTTTTATTTGTTTTGTTTTGTAATACTTTTATATATACAGGTACTTGTGAATGTGATACATAGATTCCCTTGAACTCTGCCCATTTTTGTACTCTGGCAACCATTAATCTCTTCTCTATTTCCATTGTTTGGTCATTTTGTGAACAGTGTATTGATATATAAAATATAAAACTTCTGAGATTGATGTATTTTTTTACTAAGTAAAAGAATCTTCGGGGACTTGAATTTTGATCCATCCAAGTTTTTGGTACATTAACAATTTGTTCTTGTTATTGATGAGTAGTATCCCATTTGTGATAAAATTGATTTATTTAGCCTCTGCAATAACGAGTTCAAAGTCCTTGTTTAGACAGAAATGTAGTTTGTTTGTGGAAAATGATTGAGGAACAGAGATAGAGGATCACAACAGAGACTGATTTTCTTTAAGTCAACAAGTTCTCCTCCTGTCTCCTCCAAGAATAAAGAGTAGAACACTCAGATTTGCATATGTCTTATAATCTCTGCCAAAGACAAAGTGAATATACAGTATGTCTGTGGCATACTGTATATTTTTCATACTCTGCAAGCAACAAGCTATGCTCCACCCCCATAAGTTCAATTGATGCATAAATTATGCAAAAGTGGACCAGGCAGGAGCATTGGCTGCCATGAGGCACCAAGTGATGACTCAGTTATAAGCACCTGCCCACATCATGTACTATAATGACTCTCAGTAATAGTCAATCCAAAGGTCCAATGACCCCACTAGCCAGTGGTTGGAGTTATACTCAAAGTATCCATTTCCATGAGACTATATACCTGAGAGTGAAGATACCCCACACATTCCTGGTGAAGCAGAAGGCTACATACATATATAGAGAGAATTTTTTCAAAAACCTAAAAATGAATTAAGGATTGTGACATATTTCTACATGATCTGAGCTTGGAACACAATTTCTTGTGTACCACATATGCCTCAACAGCAGTCAAAAGGCTTAATGCCTGAGGAGTTTGATTTCCATCCATCAATGGGTGACAACCAGATATGCTGGGAAGGAACAACTTCAAATCTCAGGCTTAAGAAGAGGAAAATAATTTTTAAGACTCAAAATGGGATGGAGGCTGGAACAAACCAGATTGTCTGCTTCACTCTTCTTGCATATACTTTTTTAAGACCAAAAAATTCTGAAATAAGATAATGAACAAATATAGAGATAGTAAACGGTATAAATAAGGTAAACTAGCCAGGAATAATGGGATTTGAAAACAACATATTTGTGTGTTCTGATGGTTTTCATGGGACATTTGCAAAACAAGTCAAAAAGCAAAGAAAAACTTTTCTAACCAGAGGAATATAAAAATATATATTCTGGCAGCATAAAAATGTCTAACATTTATCAATATAATCCCTAAGCAAAGCTAGCTTTCAACTATGCCCTCAAGAATGAAGTAGAGAGTTTAACTTGAACTTCCTGTTTGGTGATAGCAATGATCTCTGACTCTTTGACATGCATAATCCAGGGGATCAGGTGGAGGAGGAACTTCCACCTGCGCTGGTGGAAGTAGGTGAAAATCTGATGCCATGATTATACCCAAGTAACCATCCAAACTTATTTAAGTTGCAG